TCCGGACAAACTTAGTGACCCAGGGAAAGGGGGGGAAATGGGGACGCCAGACCTGAGAGGAGTGAGTGTGAGCCAGGACCAGGGACGGCCCTAGCAGCTCAGAGGCTGAGCCTGACCACTGGGCAAGGCCCCCGGAAATTGCCCTCGTCAGAGGCGAAGCCCTCCAAGGGGGAGGTCGCCCCCTGGCCTGACAGGTATGTTAGGCCCGAATACTAGAGCAGAAGGTGCGTGACAGGTCACACGGCCAATTCCGGCAGTTTTAAAACTAACGTCAGGAAAGTTAATTGACCTCCCGGTCAGTCCGTCCCAAGCCCTGCCTAACCAAGCTCCCCCGCTATCACGCAGAAAGACCTGACAATTCTGACCGTCGGACGTCTGCTCCAGATACCCGGCCCTGCCCTCCAAGGTCTCACGCTGCCTTCCCAGAGATCTCCCGCCCTGCCCACCCGCGGGGTCCTGTGCAAGGACTGCAGCTGCTGAGTTTCCCCAGCTGGTCTTCTGGCACGCCCCCATCACTGCAGTATCTACAGAGGGCCAAACTAATGCCCTACCAGGCTTGGCAGGTGGTGTGATGGACTCCCACATGGCTGACCACAGTTCGAGTCCGGACCTGGAGGCTTGCTTTTGCTCTTTCTGGACAAATTAAAAAATAGTAATTGGGACCAGTAGATGGCATAAGAGTCACGAGGCTGAACTCCCATGTAGTTGACTGCACTTTGATTCTCAGACCTGGTGGCTTAAAACTCACACTGGGCGCGTATGCATGGTGCCCAAAATCCTGAGAGGAAAAGGCAGGGGAAGGGAGTGTGGCATGGCCATCTCCCCGGGGGGATGATTTCTTGTTTTCTGTCTCTGTTTCTCTCTCTCTGGCGAGTACATGAACCCAAGAGCAAAAATCTAAAAAAAAAAAAGAAAAAAGAAAAAGAAATAAATAAACAGCTAAATAATTCTTAAAAAAAAAAAAAAAAACCCAAAAACCGGGACCAGCAGTTAGCATAATGGCTATGTCGCTGGACTTCCGCGTAGTTGACCGCGGTTCGAGTCCTGGACCCGGTGGCTTAAACTCACACAGGGCGCGTGTGCGAGCGTGCCCAAGATCCCGAGAGGAGAATGGAGGAGAAAGGATTGCTGCGTGGCCATCCCCCCTGGGGGGTGATTTCTCGCTTTCTGTCTCTCTGTCTCTCTCTGTCTCTGGTGAGTGCAAACTCCCTATAGCAAAAATCTCTCCCCCCCAAAAAAACAAACCAAACCAAAAGAAACAAACAAACAATAAAACCAAACCAAACCAAAACCTAAGCCCTACCAAAGGTCGCTGTGGGGAGACAAGGTGAGACTGGGAGGGCATCAGTAAGACGGGACCTGTGAGGGGTCTGCAAAAGGTCAGCGGCTACCCTCGTAGGGCGCACGGCCACTACGCGGTCAGCACCTAGGACCATTCATTGTGTAAGACAATCACATCATACGGAATGCAAAATCCGTGTTAATTTTCTAGCTAGAGTGAGACTTTGGGAAATGGAATTTCCTTCCTCGTCCATCCCCATCTGTGTCCGCAGCCGTCCCCGGCCGGCTCGTACTGCCACTGTCACCCTCCCAGGGCTGCTCTTGCTGCCGAGTTCTGGCTATGAAGCCAAACGCCAAGGATGCAAAAGCGAGGTGTTTCCTGCGTTGCAGCCAGGGTCAGGTGTGCCCTGTCTGTACCTACGACACACCCCGAGGGTCAACTCCCTCCCCTCCTCACCAGCTGCTTATGGGCAAGGACCTTGCGCAGTTCCTCCCATGACCCCGTTGCAACGTGCACAGAACTCAGGCAATAGTGGGGCCCCAGGCGCCAGCTGGGACACAACTCTGCCACACGCAGCCACAGGGGATTGAGAAAGACCCGGCATGCTGTGGAAGAGGGGGGACATGAGGAGGTAGGCTAAAATGGAAACAGACTATTGGGCTTCTTAAAAATAATTGTTCATGGGGCTGGCAGGTGGCATGATGGTTAAGGGCACTGGACTCCCACATGGGCGACCATGGTTCGAGTCCTGGACCTGGTGGTTTTCTTTCTCTCTCGCCAAATTAAAATAAATAAGAAAATAAAATAAATAAAGTTAAATAATTATTTTAGAAATTGTTCATTTAGTTTGATTAATTACTATTATCTTTAAAAATTGGCTATGAGGTGCACGTGCTCACGAGAGTGAGAAAGC